GAACGTGCGGACCTCCAGCCCCTCGGTGGAGAGGCTGATGATGAGCTGGTCCGAGTAGCGGACGGGCACGCAGCAGGGAGCCCGCTGGAGGGGCGAGCCCCGCTCCTGCATGCCCAGCAGCAGCACCGTGTGCGAGTAGTAGCTGGGGACACGGGTGGAGAGGGGCAGCTTGCAGGGACCCTCGCAGTTGTTGGCCGCGTAGACGGTGGGCATGACGATGAACTTGCGGTCGTGCAGGTCGATGGTCAGCTCCTGCAGGCGGCAGTGGGCCTGGTGCCGCGCGCTGCGGTTCTGCCGCAGCACCTTCCTCCGCTCCTGCCAACGCGCCCGCACCGTCTGCAACGCCTTCAGCAGCAGCAGCGCGTGCAGCTTCCCCGAGCCGGGCGGCTGCTGGCCAGCCTGACCCTTGCCCGGCCCCGGTGGGAAGTAGCAGAAGCTCAGGAGATGCTGGAAAAGCCCCGTGTTGGCTTGGAAAGCTGGGATGTCCTTCAGCTCCTGGATCACCGCCTGCAGCTTGCCCATCAGCAGCTGCAGCACCGTCCCCTCCGGCTGCCAGCCCCCCAAGTGCTGCTCCAGCACAGCTCCGCTGTCCTGGGGGAAGAGCAGCACCGAGGGCTCCTCCGACTGCACCAGTCGCTCCAGCGCTGCCTCCTCCGACAGGTTGAGCAGCTGGTGAGGGAGGGTCTCCATCACCTGGAAGTCCAGCCAGTGGTGGGAGCTGGGCTGGGTGGGAGGCTCGCTGGAGGGGCTCAGGACCTGGCGGATAAACTGGGTCAGGATGCCCAGGAACTGGCTGCTGCCACCGGGCGCTGGGGATGAAGCGTTGGCTTGGCTCGGGGCAGTGGGGAACGGCAGCTCCTCGGTCCTGGTCTGGGGTGGGCTGTGAGAAGAACACAGGGAGGGTCATGGGGACCCCTTGTACCCTGGGGGTCCCACCAGGCCCTGCCTCACATCCTCCCCCCCCAGTCCCACAGCAGAAGGGCTGGGGCTGCCCCTTTCTTCCCCCAGCCCCTGTGTTTTTCCATGGCTGCAGCGAGAGCCACGGACCTGAGCTGTGGGTACGGAGCCACGTCCACTACCCCGTCGGCAGAGAGGTAGGAAGAAGGGGCCAAAGCCGCCTCCTCCTCCTGCCGTGACTTGGCCAGCAGGAGCAGCACGGGGGTCATCCTAGTGAAACACTTGTCATCAGAGCCGAAAAGGAGCCGCTGGGTCTCCGTGGGGGGCAAGGTGGCACCTGGTGGGGAGATGAGTGGGTGAGGATGGTGGTCCAGGGTCTCCCACACATCCCCACAGTCCCTCGTTACAGACAGGCTTGAGAGCATCCCAAAAGCCCGAGTCAGAAGGCACAGACATCACCATCCCCAACCGCCGCGGGCTTCCCGCATGCCTACCTCCCCCTCCTCGATGCCTGATGGCCAGGGAAGCCTGGAAGCTGAGCCGCTCGCTGCTGCGGGTGACGGATGCTACGGCGGCACCCAGGACCAGGTACTGGGTGTCCCGGGAGAGGCAGAGGCTCTGCACAGAGGCAAAAGATGCAGGAGCCCCGAGGACACGGGTGAGACATCACGGGGCGGGGGGCGCTCGGATGAGCCCCCGCTGTGGTCCCTGCTGGCTCCGGGTCACCCAGCCCACGGTGGCCCAGGGAGCAGGGAAATGGGAGGGTCGGGACCACCGGGAGCAGAGCGGGAAGGGGGCTCCACCGCCCAGCCCCAGGGCAGCTCCAGGAGCCGTGGGGTGCA